AAACTTATAGGGCCACCCTATAATTTTCGCCCACTCCTATCCAAGGGGTCCAAGAGCCCAATTTTACAACTATCAATGATTTGCAAAACAACCCCTGCACTTTTAATTAATTCATTTAATCCCAAAATTAATTCCAAATTAATTTCTGATTAAATATTAATTAAATAACATGATTTCTAATTAATATATTTTTATCATAACATATTAATAAATCATTTATATCAATTTATTATTCCAAATAATAAATTCAACTTCTCTCCAAAAGTCATCATGTCAAGTTGCAAGAGTGAAGGCAACCCAAAAGGACTTGTGCTTCTACCAATTTAAGTATATACCAATTATAGTTATGGGCTTAGACACCTAATCCAATAGCGAGACCCATGCCAAACCGGAACCCAAAGATGAGAGATGTATTTTGATTGGTTACCCAAAAAAGTCGTTTGAATACTTGTTCTACGAACCTTTTGATAACGCGGTATTTGTAGCCTAAAGAGGAGTCTTTCGTGAGAGAAAGATTATATCAAGAGGACAGTGGGAGTATAATTGAATTTGAAGAAATTCAGGAGTCATATAATGAGTCAACCTGAGGATGAAATTCCTGTTGAACCTATTGACAATTTGTTACCTCTTCGTCGATCCGACAGAGTTATTATGCCACCCTCATTTTATGGTTGCCATATAACTGCGAATGGGGACACATTTATCAGTGATAACACATTGGTAAATTTGGATGAGCCAGCTAACTACAAGGAAGCGATAACAGACCCTGAGGCTTCTAAATAGAAAAAAGGCAATGGATAGCGAGATCCAATCCATGTACGATAACAAAGTATGGAACTTGGTTAATTATACACCCGCTTGGAAGACTGTAGGTTGTAAATGGGTCTAAAAGAAGAAGACTGGCATGGATGGTAATGTACAAACATTCAAGGCCAAACTGGTTGCGAAAGGCTATACTCAAACCCAAAGGGTTGACTATGATGAGACTTTTTCATCGGTTGCCAAGATCAAGTCGATTAGGGTGATGCTTGTCATGACTATGAAGTATGTCAAATGGATGTCAAAACCATTGTGACAATTCCGAAAATTGTCACCGATCGCTAACATGACAAACATAATAGACTAAATATTAGTCAATCCAGGATAAAAATATAAGATTTTACATTCTGTTATCAGCCAAATCATCCGTAAACGGAGAATAAGGTGCCCAAAAAGTAGTGTCATCATATGTAGATAATTACGTATTACAAAAGTACACGTCTTCCCGATCCCGAAAATATAAATTTCATAAAAATCTGATACCATATGAATTAGATATGATTTTTTTAATATAAAAATCAATCGCACACAGAAAGTTGCAACGTAAAAAGCTACATAGAGAACAATTGACTTTTAGCTAAAGTCACCAAAAGGAGAATCTTAGTACTCCTCGAGATAACAATTTTGAGACAAAAAATGCCAAAAACAGAGTCCGCACGAGAGATATGATTATCGCAAAATCATTTAAACGTATAAAAATAAGGGCTAAAAATAAATTTAGAATTAGTCAAAACAACTTAAATAAAAGTTGTAGTACTCGTTGATATTTATGCGTAGATATAAATAACATCAAAAACGGAGCTTGTATGAGGAAGTTACACAATTTACAAAAATGAGCATTTCGGCGCGCGCAACCGCGCGACACACAGGCTTCTAGAAGGGGGGGGGTACGTAGACCACTAAATTTCTGTCATGTGTCACGTAGCAGGAGGAACCACCCAACTAAGGTGTGGCGTGCCTCTGACTGGGCGCGCTTCCTGCATTTCTTCCCTATATATATAACGCTGCAATGCTCATTCTGATTTCACACTAAAACTTTCTTTCTCTCTTGATTTTCTTCGAAAAATCATCTTAGAAATCTAGAAAATCCCTTATTTATGTATGTTAATTATTATTTAGTCTCTTCCCTCGGGCCGCTTAATATCGAGCCCCCGAAGCTACCAGTCGCGGTCCTATGGTCTAGTAAAACACGCTTCAAGGGTGAGTTCACGGGCCCACTTTTACGATTTTAAAATATTTTACGGGGGAAATACATGTTATAATACAACACTATTGATTTTATAATGATTGTTAATTGTATAATACTAGTAATATAATTATTCCTAGAAACGTTAGGGTAATATTATGCCTGGTAGATACACTGTCAAAATATTTATAGATAATATTATGCCTAGTCATTACGTTGATCGACTTTATAGGATGACATCGTACTTAGTCGTTATGCTTACCAACTTTCAAACACAATATCGTACCTAGTCGTTATGCTGACCAACCTTTAAAGATAACATCGTACCTAGTCGTTACCCTGACCAACTTTCAAACACAACATTGTTACGCTGAGCAACTTTATAGGATAACATCGTACCTAGTCATTACCTTGACCAACTTTCAAATATGACATCGTACCTAGTTGTTACCCTTACCAAATTTCAAATACAGCATTGCACCTAGTCGTTACGCTGACCAAATTTTTAAGGAAAACATCATACTTAGTTGTTACTATGGGCAAAATGTAGAGATAAATTTGTGTCTAGTCGTTATGCTGACCAACTTTCAAACACAACATTGTTACGCTGATCAACTTTATTGGATAACATCGTACCTAGTCATTACCTTGACCAACTTTCAAACATGACATCGTACCCAGTTGTTACCCTTACCAAATTTTAAATACAAGATTACACCCAGTCGTTACGCTGACCAACTTTTTAAGGAAAACATCATACTTAGTTGTTACTATGGGCAAAATGTAGAGATAAATTCGTGCCTAGTCAGTATGCTGAGCAACTCACTAGGAAATGTGAGAACTTTATATCCCAAGTAGCTTAGAAAATTGAAGAGAATGATGGATCCAAACCAGATCCTTGCTTCCTTGTAAACTTCCTTCTTCTCAAGCTTCACTAAAATCCAAGGAATAAGCTTCAAATTAAGAGAACAAGCTTTCAAATCTTCATGGAGGCTAGGGTTTCATTGATAGGGGGTTGGAGGCTAAAGAGGATGCCCTAATCATTGAGATTAGGTGCTTAAATATGGAGAAAACACTAAATATCATGGGCTTGGGCTGCATCAGCTGTCACGTTGTGGCCTTCCTCTTGCCATGTCGAGGAGGTCATCTGGATACGCGTTTGGTGCTCCATTCACCACGTTGTGGCACAAGGTTTTTCCCAAAACCTTACCTTTGATCCCTCTAAGTCCTCAACTGCTCTATTTTAGAAAACGGGTGTTACAGCACCACTTGTCCCTTCCGGGCAGACAAGAAAACCGACAACCTCCAAATGTGTCATTTGTGGTTGATCTTCGTGAAAACTATTTTAAATAAAAAAATCCGCATTTTTTTCTTTAGATTTTAGGAAATATTGATAACGATCAACAAAATTCTTTGGAGTGCGACATGTACAAGACCAATGATCGGTCATTCCAGAACGGTGAAAAATATTTTCAACATTCTTTTTGCCTTAAACACTTTTATCATTAGGATGTGGGTTTTTTTTATCCTTCCACTTCTCATGGTCACTTGTAATCATTTTATTGTTGTTACGATAATTATGACGACCTCCATCACATCCATGACCTCGACCTCGACCGCGGTTAGACCCATGACTATGATGTTGCATTTACTTCAGGGAACAATCTAGAACCAGTCAGGTGTGATTGGTGATTTTTCATCAATAACTCATTGTTTTGTTCAGCCACAAGAGGACATGATATTAATTCAAATATTTTTTAAAACCTTTCTCACGATATTGCTACTGCAGGAGCATGTTAGTGGTGTGAAAAGTAGAAAATGTTTTCTTTAGCATGTCTTCATCAGTTCTAGTTTCACCACATAATTTTAGTTGAGAAGTAATTTTAAACATGGTTGAATTATACTCACTCATAGATTTAAAATCTTGTAACCGAAGTTGTAACCAATCAAAATGAGCTTTAGGAAGTACCAATGTTTTTTGATGATCATACCTCTCATTGAGATTATTCCAAAGATCGGCTGGATCTTTGACAATGAGGTATTCGACTTTCAATCCTTCATCAAGATGATGAAGAAGGAAATTTGTCGCATTTTTAATGCATTTGCAGCTTTATGGTGTTTCTAAGACCCATAACATCAAAGTGAATTTCAACATCAAGGATCTATGATAAATAATTATTTCCACTGATGTCAAGAGCCATGAACTCAAGTTTGCTAAGGTTTTTCATAATGAAAATATCAATCAAAATAAAGACTTGTATGTTAGGGTATTATTAGTTAAGAAATTCCATAAAATAACGTATGAGCATTGTACATGTGAACTTATAAAATATACATACTTGAAGATGAGAAGAACGATAAGAAGGTTGAGCTATATGGTAGAGTATTGTTGATAACGTATTATAAAATATAAGTTAATTTATAGAACAATGTAGGAAATGAGATTGTAAAGAACTTTATTTCATTACTTATGGTAAAACCATGGGCGGATTCTCTATAGGGCCAGGGGGCCATGGCCCCCCTGATTTTTTGGATTATTGTAGTAGTTAAATACATAAGAGTTGGTTTTATTTGTTCACACACTTCGTTGCCCCCTGATTCATTAGATATGCATTTATATATAATGTAATTTAAAAAAATGTTAAAATAAAAACTTTGAAACTCCAGAAATTTAATTTTGTTTGACTATTTCAACTGATAATTACGAAAATATATTGTTGTAACAAAATCCAAAAATTTACTTAAAAAATCACTACCAATTTCAAAGAAATCGGGATATGATAATTAGGAAACTAAAGATAACCATAAAAATATTCTAATATCAACATATTAACTCAATCTTTGATAAAGTACAAAACCCTAGACTAAAATTGAGAAAAGATTTCTTGTCGTAAAAATATTACTTGCCGGTAAACATAGTAACAACGGAGAAGGAGTGCTCACCTCCGTCGTACTTCTCATCACAATTCAAAAACCTTAGACCAGATAAACGTCTATGTGGTCATCACCGAAGTGCTCACCACTTCGTCTCTCCAGTTTGACGTTTCTGACTTTGGTGTCTCGCCTCTGGTGTTCGCTGGAATGCTCTCCCTTTCTCCTCTCTGCCAGATCGGTAAGTTTTACGTTTTTTTTCACTTTATCTTTCTTTTTCATCTGTAAGTTTTTCCCTTTCTCTTTCTTTTTATCTTTTACTTTCTCTCACTAAAATGTTAGTATGTCAATGGTCGGCAGTAGTGAAGACTTAAAGATACAAAAGCTGCCAAGTGCCAAAAGTTATTGTTTTTTTTTCGAATTCTCGTGTTATTGAACATAGTAAACCAAATGTTATTTCTAATAATTAGATTAGTAGCTTTCTAAGTTTTTTGGGTTACGTTATTTCCATGGTTTTGCGCCCCCCCCCCCCCCAGTTAATTCGCTCGTGTTCCGCCCTTGGGTAAAACAACCAACCTTTACAATACATATTACTCATTATTTATGCTTACAAAATAGTAAAATGAAATGTGAGCTATGTTATGAATATACTTTATAGTGGTACATAACTACACTCATAAAACTCATAATAATGTTTATCATAATGCTCACTAATGATGAAGAGATATGAGAGAATATGGGGACTCCAATCGTCATTCACTAAATAATATTTCCTAACAAATGCACATTTCTCATATAAAACATTTTTATCGCCCCGGTTAGGATAAAAAAATCAATAAACACATAATAACATACGATAAAGATGCGAAGAAAAGGAACTAGAGAGAAATTTTTATGAAAATTGTAGAAACATGACCATCATATGGCTGTTTTTTGTTTATTGTTACAACAATACAAAGTGATTTATTTATAATGACAAGTTAACATAAAAAATTGTTTGTGAGCCAACCCCAAAACGTCATCAAGTGAACAGGCTTTCTGATCCATGCACTATAGACTTTCTGCTCGAACATACCTTGGTTCTCTAGAACCTCATACACTTTATCGAGCATCACAAATGTTCTGCTCGAGCACCGCAAACCTTATGCCTGAGTACCGCGTATTGCATCACAACTTGAAACATCCCATGTATGAGATAATTAAATTAGTCATTCAAAATAAAACCCCCCAAAATATTTTTATAAAAGAACATCATTTTGCAGATAAATGCCTCAAACAATATAGTTCTTGAAATTTAAAAATCTTTAAATGTCAAATCATAAGAAGGTATAACATAATAATCAAGAAACAAAAGTTTAAAGCAAGCGCTTGTATGTTTATTCTAACTTCAAATAAACATCTTCTAAATATATAATGCTAAAACTGAATATATGTCAAAATACGTTGGTTAGACTTGAAAAGTTTAGTGAGTATTACTGATATTCAACATTGAGTAATTACAAGGAATTAGTATATTCAACATTGAGTAATTACACTCCTTGAAGAAAGTAAACCCCCCCAAAAGCTTACATGCCCCACATGGGTGTTACAACAACATCCGAAAGTCGTATAGAAGCCACACTCTGAGAATAATAAAATTCAAAGCTAATGTATACGCGCTTCCCTCTCGCTAACCCCAAAAATCCATTCTTATAGTCATCATATAAGCAATGGTGAGTCTAAAACATAAAATCACGTGGTTCATTATTTAAGTGAAACCGATAGAAAACCATATAAGCTTTAGAAAAGTTGATTTTTATAAATATATTTTTTGCCAAAAACATTAAGACATGTCCTCTCAAATATCTAAGGTATGTCATAAATTATTTTTATATATAACTTTTAATAAAAAAAGATATTTTAGATGGGTCAAGTGACCCACCTTATGTACCTTTAGCCTCATCCCTACATAAAAACCATGTGTTGGAAACTAAGTATGCTACTTCATCAATTCTGAACCTGGAATACATGTCAAATAAAATCAAATAAGTAGAATTATGTCTCATGAGAAACATAAGTTTTGATGCAAAGCGATTTCAATTCAAATCAAGTATTTTACATTGGTTTAATGCATAATTCAAGCACATATACTTTGTAAAACGGCCTTATCGAATCTCTATAGTTCCCTTGTATCACGGTGAGAAGAAAATCAATTCATTTTGATAATCCAATCATTCCTAGTGCGCCTTACCCACTTAGGCGCAAACATGTGAGAGCATATGTCTAATCAGCCTTTCCCAACTAGACTAATATCATAATATGCCTTACCCACTTAGGGCATTTTAATAGACATTTCCTAAATTGAATGGTGAAGACCTCACGACAGGAGATATCATCCCAATATTTATCCCAAGGGCTGGATCAATGCTAAATAATATGAAATTCACATTCATTATGTATGTATGAGCACACCACAAGAATACTTCACTTTCAGTTTGCATATCATTCACGCAATGTGTATGCAATGTACGGTAACAATATTATCATATAAAATCTTTCGTAAGAACATACATTTCGAAAGGATGCTATTTAAAACATACATTTATAATTTCATTCAAAGGGAAAGGCTCATGCTATAAATAAGTGCAATCATTTGTGACATGTATCTCGTAATGGGTAAAAATACACATGCGTTCATTTTAAGAGGTTAAGGGCGTGTTCGGCAAAATTAGCTGGTAGCGGGTAGCTTGTAGCGGGTGGCGGGTAGCTTGTAGCTTGTAGCGTTTTGTTAAACGCTACATGAAGTAGCATTTGGATTTGAAACATTTTGTTTAAACTAAACGCTAGAAGCTTGTAGTGCCAAACAAGACTTTCTGTTTAAAACGGAGCGTTTTGTCAAACGCTAGAAGCTAGAAGCTCTTAAACGCTCCCAAAAGCTCCGTGCCGAACACGCCCTAAAATTAAATTAACCTCGACCTTTGTCTTACCCAACTTCCACATTCATACATGTCCGAGTATCAAAGATATGTATTTAATATCACAATAATCCAAAAATGTTAACAATAGTACCATATTTCATTTCAATCAATTTCTTTACCCTTGCCCTTTTATTTTTATTTATTTATTTATTTTGAATGACATCATAAAATTAAAAATTAGCAAAAGCCAGAGAATTACTAAGATGAAATTGCTAATTTAGGATTTTCCAACCAACCTATCCAACTAACACAAAGATTTGATTTCTTAGCGGGAATCCAAAAAAACATGCCAGTCTTTCATTTAATCTAAATTAACATTTTGTCATACTTTCAATTACATATAGGTCTTTTATGAACATGCCATCTTTATTTGGATGGTATAATTCTATTAGGTTAAGAAGATTTTATACAAACACCGATCTGATACGGTTGTTTTATACATAATTTGTTTATTTAGGATGCATCATACTAACATGAATTTTAATACTAACATATAGGGAAGGAAGACAACGCCTCAAGTTATCTTTTGATTCATATATCATTGTTTTTTCTTGACTTAAATCACAATATAGTAAGTTTAATGGTTCTTGGTCATATTAGTTAAAAGAAACAAATTTAATTCTTCATGACGTTTGTTTAATAAAATATTTCAGTTTAGAAGAAAAAAAATTAATACATAACGAGTTGATACGATTCATGAAAAGTGAAAGTACTTTTGTGATGTATGTATCAGATATAAATCTATTAAAACCAAATAATAATAATTGAAATTTGAACATTATTTTATTCCCATTTGAAATTTACGTTTGTACCCTTTTAACTAACACATATCCATCTTCGGAATCTATGGTGAATGACTACAAAACCACATCCCCAAATATATAAGAGGGGTTTAAAGCACTCCATCTCACTGCAATTCTCCATTTCTTGAGTATTGCTTTTATTACTTTTTCTAAAATGATCTTCTCCTCCTTATCATTGCAATAATCTGTTTATAATTAATACAGGTTGTTTGGAAAAATTCTCCGTAATTATCGAAATCGAACTGTACAGTTACGTGTTACATACGAATCAATCGGATCAATCAATTTCTCTTCGGACAGGTAATTCGACCCTGATCTATGTTATTTCTCGTCAATCTTTTCGATGAATTTGTTTTCCTTGGTTTTCGCTCGCAAATCGCTGTTTTGTTAGGTATAATTTGCCGAGATTTGGTCCGATCTCCGTGGGGTTTAAGCTAAACCTCCCTTTTCTGTTCCGATAATTCCCTAAATCGTATGGAGATCGGATCGGATTCGTACAATATATACCTCTTTCTCCGATCGCGTTGAATTTGTGTCCTTCACTGATTAAATCTTGTTGGTTAATAATTTTACGATGTAATTAATGCGAAATTCCGCTAAAAATCACGGTGAAATCGGATTTGATTAATTCAGAACGATTATGAACTTTTAATGCTGGATTATATCTGTGGACAGCTTTTCGTAAGATGTTAACTCGATGTTGCATGGGTTTCGAGTTCTTTTATTTTTATTTTTGGCATTTTCGTATATTCTGTTGACAGTGTTTGACTAACCGCAACATTGATTTCATGTGTGGGGACTAAAGCCATCTTTTATAAAAAAAATTCCCAATATTTATCATCATTGATCTTATATCCAGATCCTGAGATCTAGCTTTTATGTCAGCATGGTTTGTAAATTATCTGTTCATTTACTTTTGTTTGTTCAATTCTGGATCACACCATTGAAGATTATATATCCATTACAATCTGGCTTTGAGAAGTAAACTTTTTTGCATAATGTGTTGCAAGTGCGATAATGTTCTTTCCTTAACCAATCAAGCATTGAATGTCAATTTATAATCAACTTTTTGAGATGGTTACTTAAATTTATTGGCATTCATGATCTTTTGGCTCATAAAACCTTTTTGTTTAAGGAGTCATTTACTTCCCTAAACCGAATTATTGAGTTTGATGATATTATAGCAGACACAATTGGTGCGTGATTATAGTTGATGGTCTTTCATTAGCATGCATTCCTAAGATATGGTGGTGAAGAAGAGAATATATTATGGAGGATTTCATGGTTTGATAGCCCCTGTGATACCTAAAGCTCCTAGATCCTTGAGGGTGAGTTGATAAAAGTTAAAATTTCCTTCACCAAACAATCTTAAACTCCAGATTTCAATTAACACGTTCAGTTTGTTTCTTTCAGAGGAGGAGGAGTTCACAAATCAAACCATCAGAAGGTGGTGAAATCTGTGCTTTTGAGCTTTTAGCAGCTGTAGCTGGCAAGTTGTTACAGGAGAGTGAAAGTTCCATTTCCAGCACTGATAAACACGAACCACATGAAGTCAAAGTCAAAGGTGCAACATCAGAACATGAGCATCATGATCAAGGAAGTGGTACAGAAAGTCAACCCACTAATCTTGACCCAACTGTGAACGAATTCCCACATTCCGATAATGATTCTGGTTTAGAACGCGCTTCTGTTTTTACATCTTGTGATGTCATACAGAAAACCGATACTAATTTGAGAATGGAAGCTTCTGAAGACAAAAACACAGTCAATGAGACTCCTATAGAGAGTCAACTAGCTAGTCAACCCACTAATCTAGAAGCATTAAGTGCAGTTAAGACATATGATTTAAAGGATGAGGTGGAATCAAGTGTAAATAATCGTGTATTAAAGAAATCTTCTAGTAGGGTACATCTATCCTTCTATAGTGATCATGTTCACAAACATAATAAGGGAAATATGAAGATAGATATTAGAGATGATGATGAAAATTATTTTAGGTATAATCATTATAATAGTAAAAGGAGGGCGTTTGGGTCACGATCACATGCTGGATACAAAAGAATAAGGAATATGTTGACTTCTAGGTATCGTAAAGTAGCTCCAAAACCCAAGGATTATGGTAAGAACAATATTCCATTCTAGTAAACTAAATATTTTTGATGTTTATTTGATACTTTTTATTGGTTGTTTTAGGTAGTGAAGTTAGGTCCTTTTACCATAAAAGGAAAAATATATACATGAGAGAACAATATCAAGCTGATAAAGCATCTAAGAGGAGGAAGTCTTTCCATCATTGCTCAAAACCTGCAAACACTAAAGATACTCATGGTATTTCTCTCTCTTTCTCTTGAATATTATGTTAGGTTTTATAATTAACAAGTCTGTGATACGTATGATTTTTCTTGGTTTTAGTGAAATTTAGCATAAAGTCGTTTAAAGTGCCAGAATTATACGTTGAGGTGCCTGAGACTGCAACTGTGGGTTCACTTAAGGTATGTTAATGAAATTAGTCAACTTTTGAGTATCTTTTTGTCAAATTCTAGATTCATATGATCTGAAACATATGTTATTTCTATAGAGGAGTGTGATGGAGGCGATTACAGCTATTCTACAAGGTCAATTACATGTAGGGGTACTTGTTCAAGGCAAGAAAGTTAGAGATGACAACAGAACATTGGAACAAACAGGGATTTCCCAAAAATGCAATCTTGAATCTTTAGGATTTACATTGGAGCCTACTTTACCTGAACCTTCTTCTCCATCTCCATCTCCTATACAGAAAGAAACTCCATTGTTGATACCTTGTAGTCCTGTTTTGGAGAAGAATGAAGTAGAACATGTGAATGCAATAAGTGAAGAAGAAGAAGAACAAGTGGCAGATTCAAAAGCTCTTGTGGTTGTAGATCCTGAGATACTCTCAATTGTCCCTTTGAGTGAAAAACCTACCAAAAGATATCAACTTTCACAAAGAAGAACCAGAAGACCTTTTTCTGTGTCTGAAGTAGAAGCACTTGTGGAAGCCGTTGAAACCCTTGGAGCTGGAAGGTCTGTGTTTTTTTTTTTTTTTTTTAAAAAAAAATAAAAAATTATTTATTATTATTTCTAATATTTGTTTGTAAAAAAATTGCAGATGGCGTGATGTTAAAATGCGTGCTTTTGATGATGCAAACCATCGAACATACGTGGACTTGAAGGTAACAAATACAAAATTCTGTTTTTTTCCATAATTAAAAAATTTGGATAAAAAAATAATAATATAATAATGGTTTGATTTATGAACAGGATAAATGGAAAACTTTGGTTCACACAGCAAGTATTTCGCCTCAACAAAGAAGGGGAGAGCCGGTCCCACAGGACCTTCTTGACCGGGTCCTGGCTGCACATGCTTACTGGTCTCAACATCAAAATGAGAAGCATCAGAAGACAACAATGTAAAGAAGTTGATGTAATTTCATTTGTCCATCTTTTTTAGTTATTGTGATTCGTTTGGCCCAAATAGTGGTCCCTCTGGTACCTGGTACTGGTACCAGGTAACGTAACAGAGGGACTGCTAAGGGGCCGGTTTGTAAATTATTTGGGACTGGGAAATAATGGCATTCTGACACAACTGTAAGTTTGCTCATCTGATTCCTTTGTGCATTTTGTAAATTTTCTAATGTATTTAACTTTGTTTTGATTCATTATTCGCTTTCTTTTTTATGCTTTTATCTTGTTTATAGTTTGGGTCCAAATTAATCCGACCCGGAAAACCTGGAAACCGGTTAATGAGATTTTGTAGGACTGAAAACCGGACCGGTATATAGGAATTGGTTCCGGTTAAAGTGGGTCTAGAACCAGAAAACCCGCGAAAACCATAATTTTTTTGGTAATTGTTTAGTCTGTTGAACTTTGAAAATTTTCAACTTTGATATCACGACTTCATCCGAAATGTAAGTCATTGAATATTAAATCAAAAATGACAAAATTATAGTATAAAGTCATATACAAACTCTACATTACACGTTGAAAAAAACCGCATGTTAATCCGACTTCAAACGAATTAGCTATGTATGTTTTAAATTTTTCACGGAATACAAAGAAAAACTGAAAAACAGAAAATTTGCAGCTTTGATATCCCGATTTTGGATGATTCTAAGTCAATGAATATGAAACCAAAAATGAAAAATCATAGTCTAAAATTACGTATAAACTTTAAACTATAGGTTTAAAAAAACCACATATCAATCCGACTTCAAACGAATGAGATATGCATATTTTAAACTTTTCACAGAAACCGATTCTAGTTCTTAAGCCTCGTTTACCTGGACCCAAAGGACCCGACACCCAGATAAAACCATTCTTTAAACATGGAACCTAGACCGGTTCTAATGGTTTCGTATCCCTATATGTAAGTGTATGAAAATAAAATTGAAAGATATATATCATTTTTATCTATTTTGGTATGCTCTTAAATGATTAGGTCAGAGTATTTTGCTTTACATATATATGGAAATTACGATAATTTCACCTACAAGTTGAATTTGATGCCAAATAGTAATTTTCATTTTCTTATCGGAATATGGAAATAAATTTCCACTGTAAGTGTATTAATATTTATCTTAGTGTTAATTATATTATCATGTTCTGAAACTAATTATTTGATAGTTAAATCACATCTTGTGAGAGAGATTTGCTTATTATAATTTATATTGGGATAAACTTGTCATGAACTAATGATTATATGATTATTTATGAAATTAAATAATCAGTGTCATACGTGATTGTAAAATGGAGGTGATACATAACAATTTGTGTTTTAAAATGTTAGTATTTTGCAATACTATAAAACAAAAATTATTGTATATATAGAAAAAATATTGTGTACTTCTGATTGTAAAATAAACTTGCCTATTTAACTTACTTAAAAAAAAAATCCATTTCTACAGTTTTTCATAACACTTTTTTTTTCTTGCCCAATAATGTCTGTTTTGTATTTAATATAGAGTTCATATACTTGCTTATAAACACTCATTAATTATATTATCTCTTTAACTGCCTGTCATTTAATTATATTATCTTTTTACCATTTTTCATATATATATATATATATATATATATATATATATATATATATATATATATATATATATATATATATATATATATATATGATGAGTTAGGTTCATATGTGCATGAACATCTATTGTGCATATATGTAGATAATGTTATTATGTGAGAATGACTAAATTTATTGTTTGGTAATGTGAAGACGTTCAACCTCACCTAACTATTATCATTATCACATATTTTCATTAATTAATGGTATTATGGTTTTTTTTTTATGATTTTCATTTTATCAGAATGTGTTCTTGATAATCGTATTCTATAAAAACGACACGTGATAACAAAAATGAAAAAAAAATTAGTGAGAATGCATGATAATAACGATATTTATGTGAGGTTGAACGTATTTACATTACCAAACAACATATTCACTTAATCATTCTCATAGAATAACAGTGTCCACACACGTTCACACAATAGATGTCACCCACATTTTAACCAAGCCTTATATGCGATGATGTTCTGCTTGTAAATGTTGTAAATTTTACAACAAGCTATAAAATTTATTAATTAGATATCTAAGATTACAAATCCTTGTAAGCAGCCATATGGACTAGACACAAGAACCGGAATGATCATTAATCTTTTATTTTTTCCTTCCTTGGGTTCATCACTTGATTAAATTTTCACAGTCAATCCTTAAGCTAAAATAAATCTTATAAATATAATTATATGTAGTGGATGATCTACTTTTTAGCTCACAAGACATAGCCTCTCTCTCTCTCTCTCTCTATATATATATATATATATATATATATATATATATATATATATATATATATATATATATATTGTGATTTACTTTTGTCTTTTTACTTATGAATATTAAGTTAAAATAAAACTTCTGCTGTAAATGTATTCATATTTTGTGATTTACTTTTGTCTTTTTACTTATGTTACGGATAAATAGCACAAAAGATATTAAGTTTATATCAAAATTCTAATTTGACACTGTGTTTTTTTTGTCTTAAATTTGATTTTTTTACAATTCTGACCACTTGACTGGTCAACCCGGTTATCTGCTGATGTGGCATGATAACATTTCAGTTTTAATGACGTGACATGCTGACATGACATGCCGACGTATCAAAATTGATTTTT